AACTCCCACCCTCAAACCGTCCACCAACTCCGGCCTCCAAGCAGCTGGATTACAGGAGAACGCCACATCTCCCAGCCGAGAGTTAAGTGTTGTAAATGTATTTTTATACAAAGGAACTAGAGTAATTATGGTTCTTTATTATCTGTTCCGCAAGCAAGTCATTTGGCAACATGAAATAACCAAGTAATTTCATTTCTACAGAAAAAGAATGGCCTATTCAATATACTAGATCCACATGGTTTCGTTATGTATTTCAGTTTGAGTTGATTTCCACTGTACATTTTCGTCTATGACAAGCAAAATGTTGTGCTAGAGTATGAAAAGTAAATCAAAATATATGTAATATTTAAGGATTACTTTGATACGAATTGAAACAGATGTTTGACACTTATTTCAAGAAATATTATAGCTGTTGCTGAGAAACTACTAATTGTGTAATTTAGATTTTCAATTTTGCGAGCTTTCAAATTATTTAAAGTTATATAAAGCATAGAAACCATCTCAAAAGTATACAATATGCTGGCGATAAAAAACATAACGTTCCGACGGCAAAAGAGGCCTAAACTGTTGATAATAACACTTTCCTTTCCACGGATCAAAATGGACAATTGACGTTTTAGACTCATACGAGTTTGGAAAGAAATGTGAATCTGTCATGTTTTATAAACACGCCTTCTTAGAAATAAGGTAAGAATTATCTTGTTATCGATTAACTTTTACGTAAAATAACAGTTAAGAATCGTAGTTTACTCCAGTAATAACCTAATTACCAAATATTTGTTATAGTCTATAGCGCAGTCCTGCAACGTAGCTGTTCAGAGGCTGGTGTTGGTGGACGTTTTGATAGTTTGAGTCAACGTTGATTAAACGACTTAAGGAGTGTTTTCCAACCTTTAAACATCTGCTCTCCCCTAAAAAAACAAAGTTTCCGTTGAATTCCCCTCACGGAGGTAATGTTTTCACCCCTGTGTGTGTGTTTGCTTGTGTCTTTTTATTTGTGTTTTTATCAGCAAGATTTCTCGAAAACAGCTGAATGGATTCGGACGAAAGTTGGTATACATTTGGACTATGACCCACCCTTGAATTAATTAGTTTTTGGAAGGACAAGGCCAAAGCTCATGAAAATAAAATCCCTATCTGTTAATATGGGGACCGATTTTCACACTATTTTTGCTCTATAACTCAGTCAAAAATGATCGGATTTTGGATGAAACTTGGTGGACTTATGTAGAATATTATTACTCATTGTCCTGCCAAAGATGGTTCGTGTCCGTTGATAAGGGTGAACATTTTCGTATTTTTAACCACTCGCACCACTGTACGGTAATGTGTTCTCTGTCACTTAGGCACCAGGCACTAAAATGACTTAACATGTGGGACGCTTAACGTTGCGATTTGTACAACCGTGATGTCAGTAAAACGTGTGCATGTCATGAATCACGAGAAGAATTATGCACTCTGTAAGCTACAACACAGCATGACATATGAACTTCAAAAGCAAGAAATAAAAATATTTGTTACTTTTAATTTTGATTTTATTTACTTTTGAAACACAATACTTTCGGGACCCTGTGCAAGTAAGTACATCTAGTTTGTAATTGGTCTATAAATACACCTAAAAAGTTTTTGTTTGATTTAGAGCAAAGCCACATTGGACTATATGCTGTGTCCATCGTGAGGAATCGAATCTTGGATTTGAGTGTTGTATGTCCGTAAACTTACCGTCATCCCATTGGAGTATCCAAAAAAGTTACATTCTACTGAGCTATTTTGCAAATCCTTGCTAATTTATTAAAGTGCTAATTTCTCAAGTAGCATTTTAAGAAATTTTGTGTATTTTATAATTACTTTAAATTAAGTAAAAAATAACGTAGCAAAATACGATGTCGTAAACTATTTTTCAATGTCATAATTTAGCTATTTGTTAGATGGAGCAACTAATCGCGATGATACAATAATCGAGAAGCTTTGTTCAGTATCTGGATAGTATCTGCGTTTTGATAACTTCTATAATCCATAATTATGAATCAGCTTTGTATATAATATATACGAACGTAATTTGTATCTACGTAATATTCGGTCTAACACTAACCCACTGAACTTTAAAGCTTCGGGCGGCACCTGTAATAAATTTAATACGGTCCCCCAAATGAAATAAAGTACTCAAAACAAAAACATTATATATACACAGCATATAGCAAAGTTACAAAAATATACATACAACTACAAATATCTCAACCGAAAACAAGCAAACGAAGTAACTTATTCTCATTTTCGTTGAAAATAAATAATCAAAGTAAAGTAAGTGGTAAAAAATAATTAGTAACTTCTGTAGACATTTTTTTTAAACTCCAGTAGGTTAAAATAATTATATTTTATTACATACTATGAAAGTACATTCGAGCAGACGATTTTATTAACTTAACGTTTTTAGAAATGTCTTTTACTCACTCAATAATTTTTCGATTTGACCTTGTTTAAAGATATTGATAAAGAATGAAATTCCTTGAAACCGGTATAACTGAGTGACAAGCGGTAACTCGAATGATAAATTGAGCTTCACATTTATTTTTTTAAATTCTATTAACTCTTTACTCGACAGATGGCGACACGAAACAGTTTTGAAAATGCCTTATCCCAGCAACTTAAATTGTAATGCCCATAGCATTCGAATAATTGAAATAACGGATTTAAAATCAAGTAGTCTTTTGCTCTTGTTGTTTAACTAAAAATCATATAATTCTAATATTTCAGATCATTGAAACTCTTACCTAGTCAAGTTACAGCTCAAGTTAGGGCGAATGTTACCTATAATGTCAACATGTACTTTTGCTGCACGATTACTACCACATCTTCGCGCTTTCCGTGCACTTAGTCAAGATGTCTCAAATACTTCGAGCAAATCTTACATTGATAACTTTGAAATGCAGTGCTTTCAGCAATCTTTTTAATATTCTCGACTATATACCAATATCTTACTATGATGGACGTAGCGTGTGTATACATGTATCTATCTAAGTATGTGGTCGAAGTAATAATTACATCTATTGAATGCCACAAACAAAAATCCACAAATAAATTTCACACTTTGGACATTTAAGATTCAGAAAATTAGAAAAATAACCATT